TTTAAAATATAATATTTTAACATTTTTTAATAGGAGTCTATTGAAACAAGTATTTTTAGAATAATTTTTCTTTTAATTTTTGGGAAGTAAGGTGAATGGACACTATTTTTTAAAAATAAATACTTCTTCCATTCATTTTAGTAAATCTAGTTTTTTTTATCAAATAAAATAGATATATAATAATTTATTGATAAATTTTCATATTTATCCCTAATTGAATACTATTTAAATAAGACTTTTTATTTAATATATGTTGTAATTATCTTTCAAAATAAGGGTAAAATAATAATGAATACATTAAATGACATTTTAAAAAGGAAAAATGAATATAACTAAATTTGAATGCATATAAAAAATTAAACCTATTAAAAGTAAACAAAGGGAATATTGAATATATATTGTATATTTTATATATTTTTAAATATTAAAAAACCAAAAAAACTATGGCCACACTCAACTTTCCCAAACGAAACTTTAATTAGGGCATCAACTTAATCTCAACCAAATGATAAGGAAAATTTTTTTTTCTGGTTGGAAGAGAAAAATTAAAATAAAATATACAATCAAAATTTCTTTCCACTTTCTATGCACATGGACAGCAAAGGTGGTTTCCCAGTTTAAGGGATGAAAAAATGAAATAAAGATCTAACTAGCACGAATTGAAAGGTTTCCACCACTACTATAATTAGTGCATCAACGTCTCTATCTCTATCTTAAAAAAGCACTTCTTTTCCAAATTTCAATTCAAAAATGTTAGTGGCAAGCAACAATATATTATTGTGTCTAATTTACAACCTTGAAAATTCGTTTTCGACCACCAACTGTTCTAGAAGATCTTTAATTTCAGCATCGTTTGGATAGTTAGAAAGTCAAATTAAGTTTAATTTGACATTTTAATTTTTAAACAGTTATAATTTTCAATCAAACAGGAATTATGGGCACTGTAAGTGTATGATTTTAAAGTTATATACACTGTACTTAATGTACTTAATGATCAGCCACACCATTTAGGTTTGATTTCGAGCTCAGAATAATCCATAAAAAAACGACCAAATGAAGAAAAAAGAGCTCTGAGGTGTAGGAATATGTTGGCCATTAAAGGGGACAAATGCATGTCAAGGGTTTGTTTTGGTCTGGTCATTCTGTCCATCTCTGTTTGTTAAACAACATTTATCTTATGCAACTTTTGACGATTTATACTGTTTCTCTTTTTCTTAGTCTGAGTTCTTTGCACCTGGAATATAAAGGTCTCAAGCCACTTTAGTTAGTTCAAGCTTGTAGAAAAACATCGTCAAAAAGACAAAGGGGACATATGTACCTCAAAGATGTAACACCAAATAGAAATAAAGTTTTGCGTTTCCTCCTTTTTTTTTTTATATATTTTTTTATTAAGGTCAATTAGAAGGTCTTCCTCTTCTACTCAGAACCAAAAAATAAAAAAATAAAAAAAGGTCCTCTTAGGTCCATCAAAGAAAAAAATGGTGATCTTCGCCTTAGGCTATCATTAAGTCTTAATACCAAGTACAAACAACTAATCCAATTGATTAAAGACATAAAGCTTTTTGGGATAAAAGAATGCCATGGCTGCAACCCCTAAATTAATTAAAAAGATTATTTTTATTTACAGCTTTTGAAATGAAATTAGTGATGCAAACATCTTGTATAATTATCATATCATTAAAAGTTTGCTTCTTGCTTGAGTATATCTTAATAACTGCAATGTTGTTGGGGAAGTGGAAAATTTGCTGTATATCGGTATGAAAATAGGAATTAATGATCTATCTTTCCTTATATGGGAATTAAGTATTTACCTTTAATCATGTGAGTATGTGGTTAATATAGAAAAGATGTGAAAAGAATAAAGTAAATATAAATAGAAACTCATAAAAATTAATGTTAATATTGGGTTTAAAATAGCATTTGAACTCTGATTTCTGAAACATATGTATTGAAGTCCATTCAAGCTCTGGTTCAGTCTCTCTACAATATTTACAAAAGCAAATAAACAATATGCACCAGATCCCCATTGTAGTCCACCAACAAAACAACAATAAGGCCAAAAGCAAGCAAAATAATATTGCATTTTGAGAGCTGTCGGGGTGGACCTAATCCGTTCCTTCACTTTACATGCACGTAAGCTATAAACTTTGGAATCTATCATGTGAGTAAATTAATAATATAATTTGACAACAATGTAACTTGTTACAACATATGAAAATTTAAGCTTTACTTAGGGATGCTTTTTGGCGTTTTAATTTTTTGTTTTTTAATTATTTTAAACGAAAAAAAGAGTAAAAATTAAAATATTTTAATATTTAAAATATCAAGATTTTTTTATAAAACTATTTAAATATCATTAATGAATCTTTTTTTTGTATGTTGATTCATTAAAAATATTACAAATAATTTCATACAAATTCTTGACATTTTAGTTATCAAGATATCATGATTTTTTATAATCTCATCTTAAAAATATAAAATATTAATTAAAATAAATATTAAATATATTTTATATATTTTTATGATATTAAAATATCCAAAAACGTACCTACACTCTCAAAAAGAGATTTATGTCGAACCTAAAAATTATTTAACAATAAGTAAATAGTTTTCTTTTATTTAGATCATACACAAATCTTATTTATGTATTAACGTGGCATTTTGTCTTATTTCTCGACCGGCCGGGCAACAAAGTTACGTGCGGATTGGGGTGCTAAACATCCATAGAGAAAGGCAGTTGTCCTTTCTTTTGGGCGCATAGATGTAGAATCTGCTCTGACTTTATCTATTATCTTTTCTCCTAAAATTAAGTTCTGTGTATACTTTTAGATGATATGAATGAGTATATGATTTTCAACCAAAAAAAGAAAAGAAAAGAAAAAGGAAAAACAAAATATCTCAGAAGACGAGGTCATCGAGCGGGCCACCTGCGTGATTGCATGATAAGGTTACGTGTCATTTAGATATAATAGGCGGTTATGAGGCCTTTAATAAAGAGAAAGATTACATTGCGTAATATTGAAGTCGTGGAAAAGAAGCAGTTTATTGGCAAATTATGCAAATAATATCTTAACTTTTAGTTGAAAATTAGCGTGGTAACTTATTTAACTGCCAAACAAATCCTTTAATTTGTTAATATAAGCAAATTAACTCTTTTTTAATGAATAATATCACTTAATGTTATATTTCCATCTTGATTTAAAAGTTTGTATAATTTATCTTATTTATATGTAAATAAATTTTTTTTCGTACTTCTTCACAATGGTAGAACTAGAATCAATTAATGATAGAATTTTTATATCTTTTAAACATGAGTTTTAGCTTCTTCTTTTTTTCTTTTTAACTTGAAAAAAAAAAATAATACGCCTTTAACATTGTTAAGTTGGGTCTCTCTATTTTTTTGAATTTTTAGAATCTTTGCTAGGGTTTGTGCTCAACCATCAATAACGAGGGTTTTTTTTTTTTTTTTTTTTTTTTTTTTTTTTTTCAGGGAAGGAGAGGTCGTGACTCTAAACTCAGGTACTATCCGCGGGAAGAATTAGCTTTGCCACTGGTTCCAACTACCGCAGGAGTATTCAATAATGTGGTTCTAGCACTGATTCTAGACTTGAAAATATTAATTCAGTCTTTGAAAAGATAAAAGTATTAAAATATATAAAAGTTTATTAATAATATTTTTTGTTTTCTCTCACCTTAAATTGAAAAGTTTTTTAATGTAAATAAATATTTTTTTACTTGCTTTAACGGAATTGTTATGGCTAAATCTTAATTATCTAACTTACTACAAAAATTTTTTAATCTTAATTATATCTTTCCTAAGAATAACAGAGATATAGTTGTAAATTACCTACAAATTCTTAATATATGAAAGAGGTTAAAAAAAAGGACTAATCTTATGAGATAAAGGGGAAAATTTAAATTGTTTGCTTCTCATAAAGGATGACACAAAATCTTAATACTATCAAAGAAAGGAAAAATGCGTGCCGTAAAAGATTTGTTGTTTCCACAGAAATCTTGCTATGGTTTCCACTTTTTCATCATGAAAATTGGCAGAGAAATTGTAGCAAAGATTTGTTATATATATATATTCACTTATATATAAATTTTATATATCATATTTATACAAAATTTTAACGATACAGTTTTTTTACTTTTAATGATTAAAATTTATTCTATTTGTTAAAGAAAATTTTTTATCTAAAAAATTATGATAAATTTCAATCATTGAAAGTAAATAAATAAATAATTAATATTTTATATAAATATATTGGGTAAGACTTATTTATCAATGAATCCCTCATATAAATATAAATATATATATATATATATGGCAAATTCTTCTATGGAAGCGTTTGGGATTGCGGTTTAAAGTTTTTTCGTGTATCCGAACTTTTTCGTGTATCCGAACTTTTTCGTGTAACCATACAGTACTTTTAAATATACGTGTGTTTGAAAAAAAATTTTATATTGTTTTTCTTAAAAGTTGTAAAAAGTCACAGTAGATTAACAGTAATTTTATATATAAAATCAGAAATCTCATTTTAGAGTTTTATGGTTGTAACTTTTAAAGAAAACATCTAATATTTAATATAATTATAAAATCACTCATTAAAATCCAATTTCGTATAATTTAATTACATCATAATTTATAATAGGTTAAATGCTAAATTTGATCCCTCAACTTTAGTGAGTTGCACATTTTTGGTCACTCAATAATTTTTTGCACTTTTTTGATCCCTCAACTCTAAAAAATGCACACCATTAGTCATTCTGTCAATTTAGACCGTTAACTTCGTCATGTGGCATTTTTTATATTTTTTTGGTGCTATGGTGAAAACAACTTTAAAAAGTGTTGGTCTGGAATTTTTTTTGATGACATGTCAACACCAACTCATAAACCAAATTTGATTAGCATTTATATTTTTAATAAAAAAATTAAAAAACTACAAATTTACCTTAATACCCTTGTCTCCCTTTCTTGATCCATCCTCTTCCTCTCTTTCGATCCATCTTCTTCCTTTCTTTTTTCTTTTTCTTTCTTCCTCTTCTTCCTCTGTGTTGTTGGGTTCCCTCAAACCCAGCTGATTTGGGTTCAAGGGAACCCAACTCAGGTTTGATGGAACCCATTTGCTGGGTTCGACAAAACCCAACAACTGGGTCCACCGAACCCAGATCTGTTGGGTTCGATGGAACCCATTTGCTTGGTTTCGTTGAACCCAGCAACTGGGTTCCTCGAACCCATTTGCTGGGTTCGGTGGAACACAACTCCACTTTTTTTTTTTTTTTATACGTTTGTTTGCGAAGAGATAATGCAAATTGCAGGTTGTGAGGGATTTTTGGGATCCTTTTCTTTATATTTCCTAAGTATTGTCTAAATGATTTCAATGTTCAAAATGGAAAGAACATCGTCGGTAATGGAAAGAACAAAAGCAGTGACCGATGGGCAAAGAAGCAATTCTTAGTGGTTTTCCATTTGTTTGGCTAGAAAATTGTATAGTTTGGGTGTTTGGATTTTGAAAAAATGCTTTCAATCTGTTTGGTTACCAAGAAAACTATAATGTCCGTTAAAGAAAATTTGATGAGAAAATTGTAATTTAATTATAAATTAATTTAGAATCTTAATTTTGATTAATATCAATAATTATAGTTTAATGATGATTAATTAGTGGAATTTGACTTGATATTATTTTTTATTCATATAAACATTTAAATTTAATTTAATTTGTTACATCATTAAAAAAATATAAAAAATATCACATAATTTGCCATGTCATCAAAAGACATCTTTCTTTATTGGTGATGTGGGGCCCATTTAAGTGAATTTGGCACCTTTGAGTCACAGTAACATGACATGGCAAAACGTTTTGTCTATATCATCACTTTTTTAAATTTTGCTCTCCACATCATCAAAAAAAATATAAAAAATGCCACATGGGTGGAGTTAACAGCCCAAATTAATGGAAGGACTAACGATATGCATTTTTTAGAGTTGAGGGATAAAAAAATGCAAAAAATTATTGAGGGATCAAAAATATGCATTTTTTAAAGTTGAGGGACCAAATTTAGCATTTAACTTTATAATATTTTAATAATTGTAATAAAGTTAAAAAACTAAAGTTATTAAAAAATAATAAATATTATTATTTTAATAATTATATAT